AAGCTTCCAAGGGAAGTAGGAATTGTAAAATAATTTACAGGGTAAGGTGGACGAAAATTCCTAGGGAGAGTTGGAAGAAACTTCGAAGAGAATATAAGAGAAATTTCAGGAACTTGAAAAATTAACATTTTGATGGATTTATTTGTTCACTGAACAAAAGTGTTTCCCGATTTACAGAAAATACCGGGATGCGCCATCAGCTATTTCGCGACCCCTTGGTAGCCAAAAAAGGTGAGGAAATAGAAGCATTAGTCGAAAGAGTATCAAGCATAAGAAATTTTTAAAGAAGAATTTTTTTAAAGCTGGCTCATAAAATTGAATGTTCAAAAAGATAAAAACCTCTCACAATAGATTCAGCGCGGGCGTGCAGTAAGCATTTTGATTATTTATAAAAAAAAATCGGTACAAATCGGTATTAAAACTTAAAAATCGGTATTCTGAGAAACCTTATCTGTACATCGGAATCAAGTTTGAAAATCGGTATAAATACCGATAAATCGATATATCTGGCAACGCTGATTACAAATTCGTCTTGGCACGTGCGACTGTGTGAGTTACAAACATAGCTGGCAAAATTATACGGAAGCTGTTGGGCTCGACCAGTGCACAAAGTCACGTGGGTTTCCCGTGATGGACATACCGAAAATCAAATCGACCACATCTGCATCAGCCGAAAATGGAGAAGGAGCCTTCTTGACGTTCGGAACAAACGCAGTGCCGACATCGCGTCTGACCACCATCTCCTCGTTGGAGAGATCCGCCTTCGTATCGCGCGGGTCCAGCGGCGGGAGGAGCGGCTCGGACGGCGATTCAACACACGCCGATTGGAAGATCCAGCAGTAAAAAGGTCATTCGTCGAGGAACTGGAGACCAGAGCTGCGGATATTCCTGATGGTGGCAGCGTAGAAGAGCAATGGACGGCGATCAAGGATGCCTTTACTGAAACGAGTGAAAACAACCTGGGCGAGCTGCGCGCTCAGAGAAAGGAGTGGATCACGGATGACACCTGGAGGAAGATAGAGGAGCGGAGAAATGCAAAAGCCGCGATAGAGCGGGCGAGAACCAGAGGAGCGAAGAACCAGGCCCGCCAACTGTATTCGGCTCTCGAGAAGGAAGTGAAGCGCTCGTGTAGGCGGGATAAGCGAGCGTGGGTGGACTCCCTAGCCGATGAAGGTGAGAAAGCCGCAGCAACAGGCGATATCCGTCTCCTCTACGATATCTCACGACGCCTGAGTGGAGCAAGGATGAATCCTAGGATGCCAGTGAAGGACGCGACTGGTCAGTTGCTCACCGACCCCACTGATCAGCTGAAACGCTGGTTTGAACACTTCGAACAGCTTCTACAAGTTTCGTCGGTCAACCAGCCATCAACATCTCGGCATGAACCGCCAAGAGTGCGACGCATCACTCGCGTCAATTCTGAGGCGCCATCCCTACCGGAGATCGAAGCTGCTATCCGAACCATGAAATCCAACAAGGCTCCCGGGGTCGATCGCATATCAGCAGAGATGCTCAAAGCTGACCCCATGCTATCTGCACAAATGTTGCATCAACTATTCTGCAATATCTGGGACACCGCGACTTTTCCGGCTGACTGGATGCAGGGCGTCTTAGTGAAGGTCCCAAAGAAGGGGGACCCAACTGTATGCGATAACTGGCGTGGCATTATGTTACTGTGTTGTGTTCTCAAAGTTCTATGCAAAGTTATCCTCAACCGGATACAGGAGAAGATCGACGCGACTCTCCGACGGCAGCAGGCGGGATTCCGTGCTGGAAGATCCTGTGTGGACCATATTGTCTCGCTCCGCATAATCTTGGAGCAGGTCAACGAATTCCAAGAGTCCCTTTACTTGGTTTTCATTGACTACGAAAAAGCTTTCGACCGACTCAACCACGAAAACCTGTGGGGCGCTCTAAGGCGCAAGGGAGTTCCGGATAAAATCGTCAACCTCATCGAAGCTCAGTATGAGGCTTTCACGTGCAGGGTGCTGCACAACGGAGCCCTATCTGACCCTATTCGGGTAGTCGCTGGAGTGAGGCAAGGATGTATTCTATCACCGCTACTGTTCCTCATCGTAATCGACGAGATAATGGTTGGTGCGATCGACCGTGTGCCGAACCGTGGGTTGCTCTGGCAGCCTATTACAATGGAGCATCTAAACGACCTAGATTTGGCGGATGACGTTGCTTTAGTATCACAACGGCGTTCTGACATGCAGAGTAAGCTCGACGATCTCGCCGAACGCTCCTCAGCGGCAGGTCTCAACATCAACGTCAGCAAGACTAAATCGTTGGATATCAACACGGGAAATCCATCCAATTTTACGGTAGCTGGTCAGGAAGTGGAGAAGGTTGAAAGTTTCCAATATCTTGGCAGCCAGATAGCGTCGGACGGCGGAACCAAGAGTGACATAGGTGCACGGATCAAGAAGGCAAGGGCTGCTTTTGCGAGTTTACGAAACATCTGGAAGTCAAATCAGATTAGTCTCCGCACGAAGATCCGAATTTTCAACTCTAACGTGAAATCTGTACTGCTGTACGCTAGCGAAACATGGTGCGTATCAGCGGAGATCACACAGAAGCTGCAGGTGTTCATCAACCGATGCCTGCGGTATATAATTCGTGCTTGGTGGCCTCACAACTGGATTTCGAATGCCGAGCTCCATCGACGGTGTCACCAGAAGCCGATATCGACAGAAATTCGGGAACGTAAGTGGAGGTGGGTTGGCCACACTCTACGGAAGAGCGGAAATGAAATCTGCAAACAAGCGCTGGATTGGAATCCAGCCGGACATCGCAGCAGAGGCAGACCCAGGGGCTCATGGCGGCGAAGCCTAAACAAGGAGATTAAGCAAGTCGACCGGAATTTGACCTGGGCCCAGGTCAAGGCGAAAGCAAACAATCGCCCAGGCTGGAGATCTTTCACGTTGGCCCTTTGCGCCAGGGATGGCGCTCAGGACACTTAAGTAAGTAAGTTGGGCTCACTCACCAACACACTCACATAAGCAAGCAAAGCAGCTTCAAAACGAGCACAGCTGAGTGTCGTGATTGTCGGGAATCGAGACGGTTTTATGACAGGTGTGCAGGAACTCACAGTCTCCCAGTGTTGGTGAGTTCTTTGCCGTTAATGTTCACGAAAAGTTCACTATTTTGCTATACAGAAATTCAAAACAAAAATTTTATCTGCGGATTTGAACAGTTTTTGACCTGTTTCATACTACCGGAAGGTGTATGCTGGTCACAAATGCCGTGCCAAACTGATTTCCTACTCAATTAATCAATCTTTGATGTGAAATTCGCTAATAAACACGAGGCGCATTTCTTATAGCAAACATGCCATAACAAAATGGGCATGGTTCATTTAAGTAAACAAACTAACACTTCTTCCGACTGTTACACCTATGTATTAGCCGTCTCGGTCGGGAATGACCAGATCGGTGATGGATCACAACCGAAGACGACATTCACCAGTTGCTTTTTACTTCTTTCGTCAACTTGATGGATGGTCATGGAGAGAGCTTCGACGAGCATATTGATGGGAATGTACAAAGCGTTACTACCATCAGTTGTTTGACGATCGTGATTGTGATAGGTCACAACTCTGGTCTTCGTATCCACAAGACGGTTAGCGGTATCTGCCGAACATCAGAACCTTCATTCTTCGTTTCAAAACCGCTACTGCCTTCACAAATTTACGATCAAATTTCTCGAAGATCCACTTTCCTATCGTGGCTGACGCCAGATTAGACTCTCCCGCCGATTCGGTCACCACCAAAAAGGGCCCTGAGAAGTTCGTTTGATGCCGGCGCCGGTGGTGTAATGGTAAGCGTGACTGCTTTCTAACACCCCAATGGGTCTGGGTTCAATCCCTGCCGAGGTCGGTGGGATTTTTCTGAGGCATAAAAATCTCTGGTCACGTCTTCCTTCGGAAGGGAATTAAAGCCGTTGGTCCCGGCCCATGTGTGTTGAATGGGTGCGATATCCTACTCAGGTGTGGGAGCTGCCTTCCTGCACATTCAATTGCCGTCAATGGATGGCAATCGATGTCCGTCGGTGATTGGCACTAGATTGCGGAACAGAGACCGACGTTAAATAAAGGAAAGAAGAAGTTCGTTTGATAGTATCGCTTGCGCAGTTTTCCATAATCCAGCGTACAAAAGCGTCCTGAGCCAAATTTAAATCGACTGCTTGAAAATAGAATAGATAACCGGCTCAATACATCTGTAGCTCACCAAAGTTCGTTAGAAATTCTCAATAAAAATATCGTTGTGCTCAGAAAACGAAGCTCTTTAGATGATGTATGAAAACCGATATGTTCTTCCACATTAATCAACCCAACTCCTTGGGAATTTTAATCAGCATTCCCTAAATATTTTCCCATTGGAATCCTTTTTTTATGGTCACATCAACACTCGTGTGTCATTTGTGATTTACATGCCAGTTCTCTTGGAATGCATGTCAGGAGTTCATGTCAGTATTTTCATGGATTTGTAGTCAGAAATCTCTTGAAATGATCATTTGAATTCTCCTCAGAATTCCTTTGATATTCTACTCAGAATTTCTTTTGAGATACACCTGAGCTTCTCCTATTAATCCCAATGGAATGTATTCACTTTATAATCAACATGAACCTAGGTTCTTTTACTCATAACACCTTTGAAATTATCCATAGAATTAACCTGAAGTTCTCCTAGCAAATCCCATGGAATTCTTTTCAGAGTAACCTGGAAATTGATCACGAAATTCCTTCAATTATGCCCATGGATTAAACACCATTTGAATTAGGTAATTCGTGCTTGGTGACCACGCAACTGGAGCTGAGTTGCACCGTCGATTTTCATCAGCAGAATTGTAAAAGTTCGATTGCGATAATCTTCAATATGATACAAAGGAACCGATTTGGCTCAACTTGGTTCTGGTTCTGCCATCCGCCCTTATTCCCGTGTCATCGATCATGGAAACATTGTCATCATCAACTAAAACGGAAAACCGCAATCCTGTATTTTCTAATTCGCTTTTATTGTTCTACGGTTGAACGTTTTTCAGAACGACATCTTTCTAAAATGGTGCCTCTGCTGTCTATAAAATGTACAAAAAAAATACCAATAATCATTCATTACTGGGCGGGGGAGGGGTACATTTGTTTTTTTCTCCGCTTTTGAACTGAACTACATAACATTTCTCGCATAACATTTGAAAAGGGCCAATCCTCGTTGATCGATTCTCTTCATCGACTTTCTCATCGGTTTACCAAGGCAACCTAAACGAATTTCAACACACTGAATGGTAAATTCATTTGCAGTTGGGTTATTCGAGAAAAAGAAAATCGATGAAGAGAATCGATTAACAATGATAGGTTCATTTCTCGTGTTGCGTGAGATTTGTCTGTTTGTTTGTTTTTTAGTCTCGCTGTTGTTTAGTTGCAGGTTGTTTTTTAGGCATCGAACTTGTTCGGCACGCATCCGGGTTCTTCCTCAACCGGTTCTCAACTGACTCAACAGGGTTGCTGAAGTTGTTGATTTTGTTCTGTACCATTACATTCAATATTTGTTTAAACATGTTTGCCCTATAAGTGAAGTCTTTTCAATTGCATCGCTTTGAATAGTTCATTGCTGCATTCCGCGTGATTAATATCTATTGGATACTGCTTAACGCTGCGTTGAATATAATTGAGAACTAAACTTTGTAAATCGATTATTTATACTGTCTGTAATCATTATTCTGAGGGTGTGTGCTTTTCTTCTTCTTCTTCTATATAACTTTGTATGTATTTTATGTGCATTTTGTAAATATTAAACGAGAAAAAATAAAGAATGAACCTAGCAGTCTCTATAATAACGGGAGTGGTAGTACCATACGAAACACAGACTCTCGTAATCTCCTGCAACGAGTGATGCTTGCACTTTTTCAACAACTTATTTTTAGCTAAATCTCAAGGTTGTACTTTTGCTTATGGACAAAAAGAAATGTTATATTTTTTTTTTTAAACTTGGTGCACAATAATTGTTGTAAAATAGTTTCCACTTAATTTGGACTCACACACACACACACAGGTTTTCCTATACAATTTCTAAGCTACCCACCTGGAGCCGAAGAAAATTACTCACTGACAAGGTTGCCGTTTCTTGATTGCGGGTACAACAATCAAGCGTTTGATCGTTACAAAATAAAAGAGGAAAACACTACAATTGCAACTAGAATAAAATAGCAAACGAATTTAGGTGGATGATAAATTTGTCCCTTCGTTAATAAGTGCCTAAACAATGGATAGCTAGTAGCGATGCCACTTGGTGGTAGCCAAGCTCAAAACTCGTACTCCTGCTGCTGGCTGCCATCAAAGTACCACGTATCGTTGCTCAGGGTGGGAAATTCGGATTGCTGATGCTGTTGTTGTTGCTGCTGTTGATGCTGTTGATGTTGTTGATGCTGCTGCTGTTGCAGCTGTTGATCCGAATCGCCTAGCAGGGAGGACGATGCCGCGTGGGCTGACGCCACCGACGGTGGAGGTGATAGCGACGATGTTGAGGAAGTCGACGAAGTTGAAGCCGTATCGATGGTGGAGGCATTGGCGGTGGTCTCCGGTGCACCGGCGGCGATGGAGTCCTCCTCCGGGTTGAGGTAGCCATCGGTGTGGCCACGAACGTCCCGGTCTGGATCGGCCCGCAGCTTGGTCAGCGTCTGCTCGATGGCGTCCGCGTCCGGGCAGGTTGGCGAGAAACTCGCTGCAAGTTGGAGTGGATGGTTGGTGGTTATTCGGGATGTTTTTGAAACTTGGAATATTTGAGCTTTGGATGGCGTTCAACAGATAGATTTCTTCCTAGATGTTCAGGAAGTTACCTGTGCATAAAGCATTATGGTTTATCGGCGAAAGAGAGCGAGGAAGTCAAGCAAGCTTTTTGGAAGCATGTTCTGCGTAACCATTTTCTGCACCTTGACATAGCATTTCGAGACTTAATTAGAATGATTTTGAAAATTTATTGAAAATGCTCAAGGAAGAGCGCATTTCAGGAAAGTTTCCAGAAATTCACAAAAGTTACCTCAGTGAGGGGAAGTTTGTTTTCAGAACTTCAGGGAAGTTAGTTCCTAGAACTTCAGGAAAATAATTAGGGAAGGTCTCTTCTTGTTTTACTTTATTACGTCCCCACTGGTACTTTACACCGTTCCTCATCGTAGTGTTCTTTGAGCACTTTCACAGTTGCTAATTGAGATATTTCTAAGCCTGTACCATTTTTACATTAGTTCAATCTTACTCAGGGAAGTCGAGAAATTTTCTTATCGGAAAAAAAATCTTAGACCGGACCGGGAATCGAACCTAGACGTCTCCAGCATGGTTTTGCTTTATAGCTGCACATTTACCAACCCTAAGGGAGACCCCAGGGAAGGTAGTTTCAAAAAAACCAGGGAAGTTAGTTCCCAGAGCATTACGGAAGTTAGTTCCCTTTTCTGAACTTCAGGGAAATTAGATCCCAGAATTTCAGGGAAGATGGTTCCAAGAACTTCAGGGAAGATGGTTCCGAGAGCTTCAGGGAAATAAGAACTCAAATCTTGAATAAAGCTAGTTCTCACAATGTCAGGGCTGTCAGTTCCCAGAACTTCAGGGAAGAAAGTTCCCTGTTAATTCAAGGGAGTTAGTTCGCAGAACATCAGGACAATTTGTTTCCCGAAATTCTGAGAAACTAATTCTTAGAACATCAGGGAAGTCAGTTCTCAGTGCTTCATGAAAACTTGTTCCCAGAAATTCAGAGAAGATAGATCCAATGACTTCAGGGAAGTAAGTTCTCAGAACGTCAGGGAAGTAAGTTCTCAGAACCTCAGGGAAGCAGTTTGAGAGAAGTTAATAAGGGGCTGTTCATTAACTACGTGGACAGTTTTTAGGGATTCTTGCCCCCTCCCCCTGCGTAAACATTTTTTTTAAATTTGTATGGATCATAGATATCCCCCCTTCTTCTAAGCTGTCTACGTGGTTAATGAACAACCCCTTATCAGCCCTTCAGTTAGTTTCCAGAACTTCAGGGAAGTTAGTTTTCAGAACTGCAGGGCCGATAGTTCCAAGAGCATCTGGAAACTTAGTTCAGAGAACTTCAAGGACGTCAGTTCTCGGAACTGCAGGATGATTAGATCCCAGCACTTCAGGGAAATCAGTTTCCAAACAATCATAGGGGATACAGGGAAAGTTGTTCCCAGAACTTTAGAGAAGTCAGCATTCAAAAATTCAGGGGAGTTAGTTCTCAGAAATTCACGCAAGTTAGTTATCAGAGCTTTAGTTAGTTCACAAAACTTCAGGAAGGTTAGTTTTCAGAACTGCAGGGCCGATAGTTCCAAGAGCATCTGGAAACTTAATTCCCAGAGCATCAGGGAAGTCAGTTCTCAGAACATCATGGAAGTTAGTTCCCAAAACTTAAGGAAGTTATTTCATATAACTTCAGGGAAGTCTGTTCCCAGAAATTCAAGGACGTTCGCTCTAAGAACTTCAGGGAAGATAGATCCCAGAACTTTAAGGAAGTCAGTTTCAAGACGTTCAGACTAGTGTGTTTCTAAAACTTCAGGGTGCTAAAGCTGTTGGTCCCCGGTTCATGAGTTGATGGGTCGATAGGTAGGGTCCAGGTGTGGGAGCTGCCTTCCTGGCACGTCGGTAGCATTGGTGCTCAGCACGGAAAACAAGATCGACGGAAAAAACAAACCAAAGGAAAAAAAATAAAAAAATAAAACTTCAGGGAAGTCAGTTCCCAGACCTTCAGAGAAATTAGGTTCCAGAATTTCAGGGAAACTTCAGGAACTAGAATGTCATGGAAGTCAGTTCGCAGAAAACCAAGGGAACTAATTCTTATAACATCAGGGAAGTTAGATCTCAGAGTTTCAAGAAAATCAATTCCCAGAACTTCAGAGAAGTTAGATTCCAAACCTTCGAGACAGCTAGAGCTCAGAACTTCAGAGAAGTAAGTTCCCAGTACTTTAGGGAAATTAATTTCCAGATCTTCAGAGAAGCTAATTCCCAGAACTTCAGGGAACTTCATTCCAAGAACATCTGGGAAGTCAGTTCTCAGAGCATCAAGGGTTCTCAGAACATCATGGAAGTTATTTCACAGAATTTCAGGGAAGCTAGATCTCAGAACGTCAGGGATGTCAGTTCCTAAAATTTTAAAGACTTTCATTCCAAGAACTTCAGGGAAGATAGTTCCCACAGCTTTAAGGAAGTAATTTCCAAGAAGTTCAGGCAAGCTTGTTTTTAAAACTTCAGGGTTGTCAGTTTCTAGACCATCAAGGAAATCAGTACCCATAACTTCAGGGTAGTTAGTTCCCAGAATTTCAGGGAAGTTAATTTCCAAAACTTGAGGGAAGTCAGTTTTCAGAACATCAGGACAGTTAGTTCTCGGACATTCAGGGAAACTAACTCTAAGAAATCCAGGGAAGTTAGTTCACAGAGATTCAGAAGAATCAGTTCCTAGAACTTCAGGAAAGTAATTCCCAAACTTTCAGGGAACTTAGAACTTTAGAAGCATTTAGTGCCCAGAACTTTAGGGAAGTTAGTTCCCAAATCTTCAGAAAATTTAGTTCTCAGGAAGTTTGTTTTCAGAAATTCAGAGAAGTTAGTTCCCAGTGCTTTAAAGAGGTTAGTTCCAAGAACATTAAGTTTACAAAGCTCCAGGAAAGTTAGTTCCATAAACTTCATAGTGCTCGGCACTACAGGTAAATTAGTTCCCAAAATTTGAGGGAAGTCAGTTCTCATAACATCAGGACAGTTAGTTCCCAGAAATTCAGGGAAACTAAATCTTAGAACATCAAGGAAGTTAGTTTTCATAGATTCAGAAAAATAAGTTCCCAGAACTTCAGGGAAGTTAGTTCCCAGAAGTTCAGGGAAGCTAGATCTTAGAAATTTAGTGGAATTTAGAGCCCAGAACTTCAGGGAAGTTAGTTTCCAAATCTTCAGGGGAGTTCATTCCTAGATATTCAGAAAAATTTAGTTCTCAGAACCTCAGGGAAGTTAGTTCCAAGAACATTAAGTTCTCAAAACTCCAGGAAAGTTAGTTCCAAAAACTTCATGGGAGTTCATTACAAGATATTCAGAAAATTTTGTTCTCAGAAATTCAGGGAAGTTAGTTCCCAGTGCTTTAGAGAGGTTAGTTCCAAGAACATTAAGTTAGTAAGCCCTCAAAGCTCCAAGAAAGTTAGTTCGCAGCACTTGAGGGAAATTAGTTTTCAAAATCAGAAAAATTAGTTCCCAGAACTTCAGAGAAGTTAGTTCCCAAATCTTCAAGGAAGCTAGATCTTAGAACTTTAGTGGAAGTTACTGCCTAAATCTTCAGAGAAGATAGTTTCAATAACTTCATGGAAATTAGTCTTCAGATCAGGAGCGTTGTTTCCAGAAATTCAGGGAAATTAGTTCCCAGTGCTTTAGAGAGGTTACTTCCAAGAACATTAGGTTAGTAAGTTCTCAAAGCTCCAAGAAAGTTAGTTCTCAGCACTTCAGGGAAATTAATTCTCATAACTTCTGAGACGTATGTTCTCAGAACTTCAGGGAAGATAGTTCTCAGGAAAGGACTTCAGGAATGTTTTCAGAATTTCAACGGAGTTCCCAGATCTCCAACAGGGATCCCAAAACTGCATCGGAGTTTCGATAAGATTGAAGTTTACAAAACTTTTTCGCAATTTCGATAGCAAGGATGTTCAACGAATTACATGAAGTTAGCAAGGCTCAATGGAAGTTCCCGGAGTTTCCCTGTAGTACACAGACCTTTCCTAAAGTTCACCAAACTTCCCTAAAGTGCGTAGAACTTCTTTGTTTACAGAACATCTTTGAAGTGTGCAGCACGTCCCAGAATTTCATAGCCCTCCCTGAAGCTCACAGGTGGCGAAGCTCAAAAAGTGTACCAAAAGTTGTTGTTCAATGATTTTTGAAATTTTTTAAGTGTACTGCATTTTTCATAAGAATTAATTTAAAATATTAAAAAAAAATATTTTGCAGAGGCTCATTTTTTGTAATTTAAGTATTAAATACTTTTTATGACATTTTATCAAAAATTACTTGAAATTTTTCCTACTACTTTGTCTCAGACGTTAGTTCGATTGGAAGTGACATTTTCGAGTTATGATTTGTTGAAAAATATCGAATACGTCATTTTGTTACGTCATCAAGTTTTTTGTGAGATTCAAAATGGTCGAATTTTAGCTCAAATGTGAATGATTGACCATAAAAACAATTATGCAAAGTTTCAGACAAATCGAAGAAGGTCGCATAAGATCGATTCGGCATTTGGCGTGGTCATATGGCAGTGTAGTGTGGAAGAAAAATTGTCCAGAACACAATCCGGGATGTCGGTCAAATTTTAAGTCGATATCGATTTTGGGCTCATGTCGGACGAATGTCGAGTTAATGTCGGATCACAGTTGGCATAAGGTCTGGTAGAATTCTTGTTGGTGTCGAGTTGGTCCGGCTTTTCTGTCAGACTGTCAACCAGAGCTCCGAGATGGGTTTTTAACAGAGTTGATAATAGAAGAGTTGCGCAGAGTGAAGCTTGTAACACTGATGTCGATCAATGGGCATTTTTTTTATAGTGGTAACCTTTGCTTTTGTTTACACCTCGGATGACTTCACCTGGGTTGTGAGGGGTTTTAGATTTTACCACCGCTTGGAAATTGACACTAGGGCACCCAATTTTTTTTATTTCAGATGTTCGCCGAAATATCGCCGAATTTAACATTTTTAAAATTACAACATAATAAGATAAATTTCCGTTGCTTAACCAACGATACCTACCATGCGGCAGAATGATGTCCTTGAGGCACTTGGCTACTTGTATTCTAACGTTCGGCACCGAATCGTTGACCAGCATGAGGATGTTCTTGAGCACGTGCTTCCGGAACGTTTCCACCTCGACGCTCTCCAACTCAAGCTGTAAAGTTGGCAAGAACCATACGTTAGGAGATTTGAATTGAAGGAAGAAAAATGCAACTTACAATCTTCCCCGCCGCGATGATGTACGTCTGCCGACGCCTCCAGTTCGAGCTGTGAGCAAAGTTTTCCGAAAAGAATTTGAACACGGAGTCATTCTTCTGGAACTCCCGGGAACATTCCACAAACTGTTAGGCAGACAAAAGTGGACATTAGCTTTGAAAATTTTTGGCTCTAGAAATTAAGCATCTTACCGCATCGACGCCCGCCTTCCGCACAAAGTCGTACTTGTCGATCATCAGGCGCATTGCAAGCCCGGTCAGGTACAGGAGGCAGTTCTCTTTCCGAATCTTGGCGTGCATCGGAACCAGCTGTACGATCTGCCTGGCGACGGCCTCTCTGAAGCGCCAGTTCATCATATTCAACGGCGGCTGCAGACACAGACTCAACCGGTCCATCAGCGTTTCGTGCTCGCAGCCATCGACCACCTTGAGGAACTCGGCCAGCGTGTTTACCACTTCGATTTTGATCTCGTCCGAATCCATCAGGAACTCGGTGTACGGTGCCACCAGGTCCCGGGTCGCTTGCTCCCGGCCAATGATCAGCGATATTTTGCTAATCGATGCTGCCATCGTTCGACGGACCGTGTTCTGGATGTCGTTGCACAGCGCGAAGAAGTGACTGCTCAGAATGGGCCAGAATCTGTTGAACAAAAATGCTTAGTAAAATTTCTCAAATACTACCAGGGAAAGCAGGCGGACTTACTTTTCACCAAAGGTCAACACGATCGCCGGGAAATTGTACGCACACTCGAAGCACAGCTCCTTGTTGATATTTTTCATGTGTACAAAGTCTTCCAGCAGGTTCCACTCCACTTCCTCATTTTGCCATTTGATGATGTTCTTGAGTCGTTCGCTTTCCTTCCCGATGGCGAGTGCGGCCACACCAGAGGTCACCATGTCCAGCTGTTGATGGAACGATCCTGCCGATTGCTGCTGCTTCGATCGGCTTAAATCCGTACAGTATCGGTCCATCTCCGAATCCATTCGTTCCGGTTCGGAGTTGTTGTTGATGCTTCCGTAGGACGAGTCGCTATCATTGGTGGGGTCATTTTCCTGAGCCACTACGGTGGTGGAGCTGGCAGCTGTCGAGGTCTTTTCCGTTGCCGAGACACTCAGCTTGGAGTTGTTATTCTTGCTGTCCTCCTGGGTTTCCACCAGTTCGGTCGTTGCAGTCGGGGTAGCAGCCGACGGGGAAGTTGCATTGTTATTGCTTATATCAGAACGTTTGGCGATATCGGTCCCCTTGCTGGTGGAGGATTCTTCATCGACAAAGTCTACATCAAGTGGCAGCTCCGGGCTAATGTACCAAAATTGGTGCGAATTGAAGCTCTGATCCACCGAATCGTCGTCGGAAGAGGCTTCTTCGAACTGACCTTGGGCGGAAGGTTTCTTCTTCTCATCGCTGTCAGACACCGGTGCATTGCCGCTACTGCTGTCTCCAGCAGTATTATCGCCAACACCCCCGCTACTAGCGCCTCCTGCATCCCCTCCTACGGCATCCAATGCTTCGAGATCATTCATTTTCATTTTCAAAGTAAGCGCCGAATAGTCGTCATCATCCGGACCCCATCCGCCGTGGTAGTCGTCCGAATCACTTCCCCGGCCCGTCCCACCGCTTCCTTGTTTGGCAAATGCGTCGACAAAGTTGTTCTTCATCGGTGAGCAGTACCTCAGGAAGCGATTCAGCGGATTCTTTTCGTCATAGTTCCGTGTTCCTCGGTGCAGCTGCACCGGCGGAGGCGAGCACAGCGAAGTCGACGACAGGGACTTTCTCACGTAGTATTTGTAGGAGAAGTCGGAAATTTTCGAAATACCTCCGTCGTCCGAGTTGGAACCGGTGGACGAAAGCCGTTGCGAGCGGCGGTCCGCGTAGACGATCGAGTACAGGTACACCTCGACGTTGATCATGTCGTCGCCACGTGCCCTCCACGGTTCCTCGTTGGATTTCACCAGCGAGAGCAGGGCGTACCGTTGGATCGAGTCCTTGAAGCGTTTTTCGTAGCACTCGAAGTTCTTCAGCAGCACATCGACCGACGGTTGGTTACCGTACGTCACCCGGCGGGTGTCCAGGTGGTGGAATCCCAGCTGATCGGCCGCATTGGTCAGCGTTAGCTCCAGATTGCTGTTGTACGCCAGGCCCAGCACCCGCAGCTGGGTGAATGTGGTGAGGAATTGACCGAGGTTCTGGAAGAAGCAGAAAAGGGGAAGGGGATTTTTTTCAGTTATGTGGTGCGGTTGAATGTTAGGTAAGCCTATGGGTTATCAACAGTTGCCCCCTCGTGGCGAATGCAAGAACTATCCGATGGGATAGTGGGTTTTTAAAAATTCCTCCACGGTGAGGTATGGGAGAGAATCCGATGACCATTCGTTTTCCACCATTCGTTTTCAATATTTGACGAAGTTACACAACACTCCAAAGTTGACGAAACATTTGCCTATCCTAGATATTTTGTACTTGTTGCTTGTTTTAACGGTTTTCTCAGTAATAGACTTACTCTTATGATTTCAATTTAATCTACCCGACGTTTCGGTCATGGATTTTGGTCTTTTTCAAGGCTTATCGTAATTCGAGTAAATTAATGACTGAGAAAGCCGTTAAGTTAAAACAAGCAATTCCTTCCAACCCCAATCGTCATCATCACTCATTTAATAAGGAAAGTGTGGAACTTTACAAGAGTTCAAAGATATTTAAGGGTAAGTTCTGAGAACTTCAGAACAGTTCCATGAACTTCACGAAAATTTTGTGATTTTAGATGAAGATCTAAGAACTTCATGACAGGCCCATTATCTTCTAAACAATTTTAGATATTTTACAAGGACTTCAAGAGACTCCAGAAAAATTCAGAGAGGGCGGGGGGGGGGGGTCGTTAACTGTAGTGAAGATCAAAAGCTTCAGGGCAGTTCCATTAAATTCAGCAACAGGAGTTTTACAGAAGTTGCCAAAACTTAATTTGAGTTTAATGATCTTGTTCAGTCCGCAACGCAACGAACTGAGTAAGGAGAAGATTTGCAGCATTAGCCACGCCTTGATAATGAACATCACCAGCAGCTCGATGACGAGAGAGCGAACAACGACAACAAGAAAGGTATAAAAAAGGACGGCTACCTGTCCGCGAGGTGCAGTTGCGTGACGACCACCCGAGTAAGCAGTAGCAACATAGGAACAGAATAGGAAAGAAGAAGGTGAGCCGAGAACGGCTGAAGAAAAAACGATTGTATCAAGAAGAAGACAATATAAGATGGAGTGAAAATTAAAGTGTGTGTGTGTGCTCCTTTGTCTCCAGCCGAAAGTCCCTCGTTCCACCAAGCTGTAGAATTTGTGTGCAGCCCTTTTCATGGCTATGAAAGAGTTGTTAGAACATCCGCATTGATTGGTTGGTAGGTGACTGCAATGAAGGCAGTTCCTGGTTGATTGGGAATCAACAACGCTTGGTTAGATTCCACTTGGAGAATCAGCATCGCTTCTCTCCGCTGCATGAAGGCAGCTTTGGTTTGACAGCAGTTTTTACAGTCCACTGCAATACGACGCAACAGATCTTAAGGGACGTTACGTGAAATTTCTGGCATTTCCGAGAACTTCCATGTTCCATGAAAAGCAGCCATTATATAAAAGCGAAAAAGAAGACTGGCAACTTTTCCTGAATTCAATGGGCATATACAGTACCGCTGCGCTTGAGATAAGGTGGAAGCAACGCATAGTAAAATTAGCAAATACGCAAACCTCTCTGCCAAGGTTGGATTCTTTGCTATCAAATTCGTCCGTAGAATTTACCATTTTGAGCGGTAGATGACGCGATTGTACCTGTCTCATACACTCAAGAAATAAATCACATTTCCAATGGAATATATCCATTAGAATTTCACATAACTTTCATGTGGTCTCATAATTGGGAATCGCACTACAAAATCACACGAACCTTATGTTTCCAATGAAATTTATGTGATTTATCACATAGAATTCATGTGATCATATGAATTCTATGTGAATTTTAGATAAGAATAATTAATTTTGTTTTTGGAAAAATATCATGTGCGTTCATAATGGAAACTATATGAAAACTTTTTTCGGTGTAGCATTCGTATGAGCAAACGGAAGAGTTGCCAGTCTTCTTGATATGTTGTTTTCGGTAAAATATATCAAAAGAAAATGTTATCCCTAATAAAAATAACCATAAGAAAGAGCTTAACGACGTGTTCGGAATATCATCCAAACTATTTGTTGGATAGTTCGACCGTACGGGCTACCGTTCGTTTATGGTATTTGTTTATTAGGGATGTTCAAGACATTTCTAAAAATCAATTTGTAGCATTTTGGGGTCCAGCCATCATATTTTCAAAGCCCCAGAATTTACTGAGAGTAAGAGTATGTTTTAAGGTTACAAGACCGAACGCTTTCGAACTGAATAGGCCATTTGACAAAATTGTAAACAGTGATAGATTCAACTAACAAGTTGTTACCTTGATTTTAAATTAGATCCAGGGAAAATTTTGGAGACCACGAAGCAAGAAAATATGTTAAAACTCCGTAGTCTGTACCAACTAATATTAACCATAAAAATATTTTGGGTTTAGGAAAATTTACAAGATTCTGAGACTTTGACATTTGTTTACACACTTAGATTATTTTACCGAAATCTGTGAAATTTCACCGAAATCTCAACAGCTGAACGTTCGGTAAACAGGTCGGTGATTTTTCACAGATTTCCTGTAATTTTTCACAGATATTCGGTGAAAAATTACAGGAAATCTGTGAAAAATCACCGAACTGTTTACCGAAAGTTCAGCTGTTTAGATTTCGGTGAAATAATCTTAGTGTGTAGAGTTTTAAACAATGATTTTTTTAAAACTATTTGCGGCTTATAAAAATCCGACTGACGAATGAAAAACAGAATTGGAAATGTTTTCATCAATTTTGGACTGGGAAAAATATACAAAATGCGAGATTAAAAAAAAAAATAATAGTCTTTGCTAAATTTTCAATGGAGCTCTGCTCTGAAGCGCATACCTATGAAATTTCGAGGAAAATTTCAAAATAATTTGTGTTAATTTCGAAGAAATGCTGGAAAAGATTCTTAGAAAATTCTAGGAAAAAATCTTAGGAGCTCTGATCAGAATTCCAGGATAATGTTGAGATAAAGTCCTAAGAAATTCGGAAATGAACTGCAAGGAAGATCTGAATTGAATTCCTAGATGATTCTGGGGCGAGTTTATGGGAGAATAGCATGAGGGATTCATCATCACAGGATGTTACTGGAGATCGCATAAACGGAGGATGAGATTTAACGAGATGCGGTTCGATGCAAGAAAATGGACAAAGAAAAATGTGGAGAGTGTTACTGAGCGAAATGAATCATGTAGAAACAAATAGGTTACCGACTTTACTCGAACCACGAACGTTACGATTATCAGACCTGTGCTTTCACCACTGCTCTCTTTATGCTTCAGAATATGGATAGACTAAAAGCGAATAAGAAGCGCTCATTTCCTCTCATACTCGATTTCGTATGCTTTTTCTGTTGGACGGGAATTGGAGAGAATCGTGGCAAGTTGGTTCTACAATGTTATAAATAAAACGCATGTCAAATGCTTGCTTCAATACTCGAAAGCGTAGATAGAACACAAAATAAAAAAAATAAAAAATCATTGCATCATCTGCAAGGTAATCTTATATCATTTTTTGCGGTATTCGTTGCGGAAATGCAACGAACATTCAATGTAATAAAATTTTTGATTTGCGTGAAGGTGAATTTTACAGAGGATTCCACGAGAATTCTAATGAGAGTTCAAAAATAATTATAAGCAAAATTTATAGAGTGAATATAGTTTCAAAAAAATTCTGAGGAAAAATCAGAAATGAACTTCAAGCAAATATGAAGGGAATCATATTCTATGAAACAACGAAAAAATCAAAAGGGAATTCCAAAGGATTTCTGAAGAGATTTTTGAGAACAAAAGAAAATTTTGAGAAAAATTTCAAAGGAATCTATTTCTCATAAAAGTTGCACAGAAATTTTAACAAGGATTGCAAGGAAATTCTTAGAAGAGTTTCAAGGACATTCCAAAGTTGTTATTTTCACGGTTCACTGGACGTTCACATTTTTGCTAGAATTCGGCCATCTTAATCTCGAAAAAATATGCTTCAAAATGGAGTATTCGAGATTTTTCAATAAATCATAACTCGAAATCGTAACTTCCAATCGAAATGACGCCCGAGACAAAGTTGTAACAGAAAATTATTCCTTTTCAGAAAAAAATACACTTTAAACAAAATCAAGTAATTTTGGGGAAAAATCAAAATACAGTTGTTTTCGATAAAACTAGCAGCGCATGCCGATTTTCATACAAAATGGTCAATTTTGACAGAAAGTAACTTTGTTAACTTATGATCAATTGAGCTGAAACGTTCGCTAACGAACTACAAATATGTTCAATTTTACGATTACAAAATATTAAATTCTACGGTTTTGGTAAATTTTTGAGTACTCATAATTTTACACATTTCAAAATTTTGTATTTTTCAAAAGTTTTTTTTAAGAATCAAAAATCGGTAAGGACGTTTTGAAATATTTAGGATTTTTTTTGACGTAGGATTACGTCTTTCAACACCATATTGGAGGAGCAATTTAAAAAAAAAAACCAAAATTAACCGCATTACGAAAAGTGGTCAGGATTTGACCACATATGACTCTGTCAGTAACGGATGGATTTTAATTCTAAACAAGCCAATCGATTAGAAATTTTGCTACAAATCTGCTTTATTGAACATTTTATTTGTTTTCGATAGGTCACTATTGAAAATTACACAAATGTCCAACTGTTGCAATAGTGATCAAAATTATCACCGATTGCCTGCAAACAGTGCATTCCCTAACACAGATTTCATAATCGAATTCGATCCTGTCTCCCTGGACGGTACTTATTCAATCACCGTATGTGGTGGTGTCCGGTCAGTCGTCAGCAGCAGCAGTGCTTTCGCAAACAGCTAGCTACAACCTACATGAGCGTCCATTCACCGAAGAAGGAGGAAGAAGTCTCACCGCTACTGATCGGGATCCATCTTCGTTAGTCGCTCGTCACCCTCGTTCCAGATAACATACAGCTCGCCATCCTCATTCGTGTTGAACACCCTAATATCTCAGCATTACTCAACCATCACGACAAAACGGTCCTTTTCAGGACCACCA